CTTTAATGCAACACTAACAAATCTAAACCAGCTATGATTTTTGGATAATTTTAATTAATCAGTTAATATGCCATTTGTTACATTTGGGATAACAGGTTTTTAGGAATATTTTTATTATATCTGGAATGTTTATATTGTCATGACACTGGAGCTGAGTAATATGGTCTGGTCCCAAGGCTTGCGTTTTAGAGTAAAGGCAGGAAAGTAAATGCGGGCTATCTGTGGTTGTGTTGTTTATCTTGAGAAAAAATTATGCAATTCTGCCTGGCTTCCAACTTACTCTCTATAACTCAGGCTGGTATCAAACTCATGGTCTTCCAGCCTCTGCCTGTCAAGGGCTTCAGTTACAAGTATGTGTCACTACAGCCAACCTTTCTTTATTTCTTTTTTTTAATTAAAAGTTTTGATACAATATATCTAAATTGTACTTTTCTCTTCACTAACTTCTCCAAGATCCTCCCCACTGCCATACTCCCCCAGCTCCAGGACATTAATTTCCTTCAGTCTATAGGAAATAAACAGGAAAATACACACATACACACACACATACACAAACACACAAACACACACAAGAAAGACAGCCAATTCATAAAAATACAAAATCAGAAACCATAATATACAAATAAAAGGCCAATAACACATACACAAAAATGATTTAAGTAATGGGAAGTAGTGGCACATCCTTTAATCATAGGGCTAGGGAGATGAAGACTGATGGGTTTCTGAGAGTTTGAGGCCAGCCTAGTCTACAGAAGTAGTTCCAGAACAGCCAATTCTACACAGAGAAACCTTATCTCAAAACAAAAATAAACAAACAAACAAAACCCCACAAAGAAACCATAAATACATAAATAAATATTCAAATATTTAAAAGGCTCAGGTAAAGTAACAGGGGATAAAAGTTTACAAAAATATTATTGGCCATCTACTATTGGACAATTGGACATAGTCTTAAGGGCACTAGTACACCCATTAAGATACCGTTGGCAAAACTAACTTTTAAAGTACAAGACAGTATAAAAAGTCAGGTGGAGTTATCTCTGTACTCTGTGAAACAGGCAATAGTAACAATATATCTAATATGTGTGAGAAATATCTGTTTGTAAGAACCCAGTTGACTGTAGTGTTATATCCCGTGGCGGAATAAATTATAAAACAAATTCATTGAAGGGGAAAGAAAGTGAAAACAATGCCTGCAGTTTACTTAAAATAGTAAAACACGCAAGGTATTGTGTATTTAATATAACAATACCAAAACCCTTGGTTATAGAAGGTACTTAATCTTTTATATTATAGAGTGTTATTTAATTCCAAAGAGAGTACTTATTAATGGAACATGTAATCTGATTTGCATTGTAGGAGCACTGTTCTGTATGCTATGGAGACTGCAGCCATTTGACAAACACCGCCTAGCAGATAATAATCACTAAGTATCGGTTTAATGTAGAGATAGAAAACTAAGGCAAGGGAAGAAGAAATACAGGGTGTATATGAGTAAAGTCTTGCTTCACTAAATTCTTGATCCAAGTAGTACCTAGCATGCAGTCATTGTTCAGTATGCTTTTCTTTGCTTGATTTTTTTGTAATATGAAGTATTATTGCCCTTTAATCTTCCCCCATGTAAGGTATACTCGCCCCAGTATCATTTACAGTCATGTTCCCGGTGACCTGCAGCTTCCTTGCTGTCATATATTATTTTCTTCCATGGCTAGTTCACTTCTCACTTCATTTCTCTGATTCAATTCTGTTCCCTACATATTTCATCTATTTTATTATGGAAGAAAAAATGTTTTATATGTTATCTTTCACGTTTCAACACAGTATGACTTCTAAAGTTCTCTTTCAGTTTTGGCCCACTCTAGTTTTAACCTTTTGTATTTTTTTGTATTCCATCTTTGAAATTTTACTGAAATATTTACTAGTCAGTACTTACTGAAACAATTTACTACAATTCAAAACTTTGTGTATACATATTCACGGTCTTTGTCATCCTGATATATTTTGTTGATTTCTTCACTGAAGCCAATATTCCAGACATCTTTTCCATTGATAAAATAAGTCTTTAGCTGTGTATGTGATCTTTAAGTAAGTGTTCACTGCTTCCGGATCAAGAGTTAGAATCACTGTTAGGTTACTTCTAAAATAAAAACTTTTGATATGACCTCTTATTGGGGCTTCCTGGGGACCCTTAAAATTTAGCTATAGTTTTTTTTCTGGAGTGTATAGCAAAGTGGGGGACTCACCTGAACTTTTTGATCTTCTGGCTCAAGTGACACATAATCATTTCTTGCAGTCCAGAACTGATCAAATATGGAAGGAGATTGCAAAGGGGCACTTGCATCAAGAGAAAGCAATATTTAGAGTACTTTTCCAAAGCTAAAACAAGTTCAAATATTGTGCTGCATCTGTTAATTTAATTTTCTGGGAGGTACCATGAACTCAGAAAGCATGTGGTGTTTCTCTCTGAACTCTTTTTATCATGTCAAGATTACCATCTTTTACTGCTCTTCAATAGTTCAACTTGTGGCAACTATCCATCACCTATCCAGGCTCTTAGGTCAGAAATGCAGTGTGTATATTGTCTTTCATTGCACTCTTTGGCTACACTGACATACATAAAATTTGTTAACATTTTATGAATTAATTTAATTTAATTACCAAATTTAAATCTTTAGTTTCCCTTGTTAAGAATATCATCATCTCCTCTACAATATTGGTATCTTTACTCTTTTATCTTGTCCTTTTGTATCCTTCCTCCATTTTTCTGCTTCCTTCTTTATCCTGCTCCTCACCCCTTCTTTTCCTCCTCATTTTCCTTCTTCTACCTTCTCTCTTCTACATTTTAATAACAGTAACAACCATGAAACTGAAAAAAAAACATTTTATTTCATTTCACAAATAAAGGATCAAATTTGTGTCTCTATACCAAATCGAAAGCATGGTAATTTAAATAATTGAATAGGGAATAAAATGAAATTGACACAAGTTGGAACAAGATTTCCAATGGTTTTGAAAGACTTCCACCATATTAACTAGTCCAGTATTGATTCTTATGTTAGATCAGATCCTCAAGAATTCTTTTCTCTCATTTAGTATCCATTCCTCCTAGTCTTCCTTTATCAAACTTATGCTTATTAAATCCAAGCATTCTAGTGGATATAGCAATATTTTGTTTGTAATCTAACAAATAAAACTTGCCTGGAGATGACAGTGCAGAGCTAAGAGACTGCAACCCTTGGAGGCCAGTCAGCAGTGGCATACACCTTTAATCCCGATACTCGGAAGACAGAGGCAAATGGATCTCTGTGAGTTCAAGGGCCCCCTTGGGTACATGAGATTGATTCTGTCTAAAAAAGAAACAGAGCTAACACAAAGATGATCCTACCATTTGGGATCACATGCCTTTAATCCAGCACTAGAAAGGTGGAGACAAGTAATATGACTGGGTGGAGAGAGGAATGCGTGATTCCCCTCTGTATTCTGTGAATTTGTTTTATTACCATTGGTTAATAAAGAAGCTTCCTTGGCCTATGGCAGGGCAGAATAAAGACAAGCAGTAAATCCAAACAAAGATATATAGAGTACGCAGAGTTGTGGAGAGTCTAAGTAGCTGCTGAAAGAGAAAGACTCTGGAATCTTACTGGTAGGCCACAACCTTCCATGGTAATACATAGACTAATATAAATGGGTTAATTGAATATATAAGAGTAGTGTGAGAGGTCCTTCTGTCTATATATTGATTTTATTGGTTAATGAATAAAGAAAACTGGCTTGGCCTATAGCATGAGAGAAGGAAGATGGAGTTAGAGAGATGCCATAAAACTGCTGCTGGAGATAGATGTGCTGAAACTTTGCTGGTAGGCCAAGACCTTGTGTTGATGCACAGATTAATGGAGATAATATTAAATTAAGATTTAAGAGTTAGCCAATATGAAGCTAGAGCTAATGGGCCAAGCAGTCATTTAATTAATACAATTTCTGTGGGATTATTCGGGTCTGGGCATCTAGAAAACCAACATGCAACCTCCATTTACAGGAATATAAGGCAGGAGGAGACAGATACAGACTGAGGATTCAGTCTGAGCATTCAGTCTCAGAATACACAGGGACAGTATCATTTCTTCGGTCTGACCATTGGTAGAGGTAAGAAGTTTCTAGTGGTTGATTGATCTGCTTCTCTGATCTTTCAGTATTAACCCCTATATCTAACTCTGTTTTTTTTAAATAAGACTAATTATAATTCATTCTATATCTGGTGCCTAATGTGGGGCTCAAACACACAACCATGAGGTTAAGAATCTCACGCTCTACTCTGAAAAGGAAAAAGGAAAAATATGCATGATAAGATAAAAAAGATAGATTATTGAATCCACTTTTAAAAATTAACTTCTAGTTTAAATATTTTACATCAGGTGTAAACATGGAGTTTACTTTCTTTGTGGCAAAAGTAAGCCACTGGGTAAGAAAATGCCCTTGCATTGACTGCTGACAGTATACTGTCCTAATTATACAGGTAGGACATAAAAGAGAATGACTGTCAAATCTCATCAAGACAAGGCAGGATGGTCCTTCAAAAATCCTGCTTTATAAAAAAGTCTGTCAAATATTCTAGGCCTTTAGGATGAAGATGGATGCTGAACATTGCAGAGGAATCTTGGGTGACTGTCCAGATGGCCAGCTAGTTTTTATTATGAAGAGCAATTAGAATTTGTTACAAGTGGCCATATAATTTCTTTCAAAATGAAGATGTCACACTCCCTTTCAATTCCTATTGAATAGCTGGCTTTGTCCTGCACTCACGGACATGTAGTAGATTGTAACAACTACTTTATCTGACTTCAGTGAGTTGCTTTAACAAATCTCAGGTATTCTTCCACAGCTTGACTCTTGGCACTGCTTATGACATTACTTGGCACTCTTCACACGACAAGTCCTGCTTCCTGTGAGGACATCTATTTGTCTGGGTCAATATTATTCTTACTTTCTCTGTGCCTTTTCAGCCCTCCTCATAGGTAACTGTGAAGATTGAAGACCACCTCATCTTAGATCAGACAATCATCAGTTTCACCACCCCTCAGAGGTGAGAGACATCAATATACAGATGATTTTTCATGATTAATAAATGGGGATAAATAATACATTGATCTCTGTCATTGTGCAAAGAGTGTGTTTAATAAAAACTTCATGTCTCTATTGCTGTGATGAAACACCATCACCCAAAGCAACTTTTGGAAGCAAGGGCTTAACTTATAACTCTCAGGTAATACTCCATCACTGAGGGAAATCATAGCAGGAACTCTAGGCAGGAACCTGGATGCAGGAGTGAAGTGGAGGCTATAGGGAATTACTGCTTACTGGCCAGCTTTCTGTGACTTGCTCAGACTGCTTTATCTTTCATTTCTTTCCTCTATATTTGACAATTATTTGTTTCTTATTTAATATTTTCCCCCTACCCTTCCCTCTCTCCAAACCCATATATATATTTTTTATTGATATTTATTGAGCTCTACATTTTTCTCTGCTCACCTCCTTGCCTCTCCCCTCCCCTTCAGCTCTCTTCCATGGTCCGCATGCTCCCAGTTTACTCAGGAGATCTTGTCTTTTTCTACTTCCCATGTAGATTAGATCTATGTATGTCTCTCTTAGGGTCTTCATTATTGTCTGGCTTCTGTAGGACCATGACTTTTGGGTTTGTTTTCTTTGTCTGATACATTTTCTTAATAAATGTTCCTTTTCCAAAATATTTTTTCTACTTAATAGTTTATTTATAGTCAATAAAGATAACGAGGAAATTGATAGCATCATGTATTAGATCTAGAAAGGAAACAAGTGACAAGATATTGGTTTGAGAATACTTACAAGGATATTTGAGAAGCTTTTGGATTTCTGGTATTTGGGACAGGGTTCCTGGCACTTGAAATATATTTAAAGGTCATTAGGTTTTTAGCTTATTTGCATGAATGATGAAGCAAATTATGTCTTTATAAAGTCCTGAGTATTAAACCTGGGAAATAACTTTGTGGAAATCAGAAAATAATCGAGAACCGAACATGTAAGGAGCCAGGGAAATATGAAAAAAGCAGAGGTTATTTTTGTCATAGGATCCTTCAGTATGATCGGGTCTACTGTAAGAGTTTTTACCTGCCATTTCCTCATGCATTACAATGGCTTTTCTCGGCATGGACTTTTAATAATTTGTCACGCATTCTGCAGCCTATATTTTTGCTGGGCTTCTCCTTCCCTGTGTTAATCTCTACTTGTTAAGATCAGTTTATATCTTTGTATATATGTTTTATATCTACAATTGAAGGCTACATTTTAGCTTTTATCTTGCTTCCTCCCTTACATAATGATTTATGATCTTAATCCTTTACCTGGTTTGAAGTTCTTGACAACCCCAATAATATCTTTATTGTTATACATCTGTTGGTGGTAGTCCCCGGTCAGTAAAAATGAAAAACCATAATGCTTTATTCATGGCAGGATCAGCTATTCTTCCTAAACTAACATTTATGTGTCACTTTTCTATTTTCCCAGCCTGACTCCTAGCAGGACAAATCTTTGAAATGTTACTGTATTATGCTCTTCCCAGGAACAGTTAGAGTTACAAAAAGAAATAAAAGGCCTTTTTTTTATGTTGTTTGACAGTATTATCAGAGAGGTGATATTTTGTTTTCTTATATACATTTAGTTGCTAAAAGGTTTTGACAAGAGACGGAAAAATGTGCCTTGCTCCTTTTAAGCCTTACCTGATACCAAAGTTTATCATCGAGTCTTTTATTGCAGACCTGAAACATATGCTAAAATAATAATGAAACAGCATTTTTGAACAAACTCAAATTTTACTTTGTGCATAATCAAAGTTTGGAATTATTATGCTAATTTAGAATGAACTATTTATGCTCTGCATATTGAAATATTTTGAAGAGCTTTACTGGTTTCTTTTTATTTTACTTGCTAGGGGTCAAACCTGCTCCACTTCTACCATCTGTAGACTGAAACATAAGACAATAATTAATTCTTACTTGGTTGTTGTTTTTATTGTGTATGCATTTGTGACAGAGATGGGCACTAAGGGAATGGGAGCTGGATGAGTTAATTAGACTTTATCAGTAAACTGCCCTGTAAGGAAATACAGAAGAAACTAGTATACACACTTTTTTCTTTCCTGTCCTGGCGTATTTCCTAGTATCTGGCTGTGCTACCTACCTGTTATTTTTGATAGTTTGGCTCAATATAGCCTGTCTTTGACTGATTCTTCCCATTGTTTCTTTCTGCTGTTAGCATTCTGGTCAGGTGAGATAATCTGAGCTGTGTCTTCCTATTGCTTCATCCACTTTTGCTCCAAATGTGTGAAGTCCACCATGAGGTGAACCAGCCCATGTTTAAATTTTAGACTGTTTTTCATTTAAACAGCCATTCCAGTCTGTTTTATAACCTTTCCTCTCTCCAGTTGAAACTTCTCCAACATCACACAATTAGTGGTGTTTCTTTTTCTTGCGATTTTAATTTCAGAAGCCCAAAAGTAATTTTCCAAGTATTTGTATCCAATGCCATCATTAGACACGAGTGCATAAGTAATGCCCTTCAAGCCACAAAAACATATTGGCATGAATATGATTTCTGTTTCAGAAATCGAAAGCTATGTGAATGCCTCAGCTCAGAGGCTCAGTCCCCGTCATTCCTTTCTTACACACATTCTCGCATGCATCTTGGCACCATCTCTGTGTGCTCGCAACTGTGAAATCCCAGTTGTCACTCTCCTCATGAGTAGATTAGGTTTGGTACTTGGCAGGCAGTGCTTGAGTGTTTTAAAGTTCACTGTGACATATCTTGATGCATTTTAATTATACCCTTCATATATAAGGAAGAATTGTTTCATTTTTTATGAGAAATAGTATATTGTCTGACCTTAGGTCAGATACAATAGAATGAAAATCAGCCATCAGAGTACTGGTAAACAATATTTTATGGATCTAGAGAAAATATTTTATTTTACGAGTAAGAGGTAAGTGAGTGAAATGTGCTCTAAGTAGTTCACTAACTCAGTTAGGTATGAGGTTCACTATTTAATGTTCCAAGCTTTATCTGTGGTCTTAACTAACAAAAATAGTTTGAGATGCCATATGTTTATATGATCCAGTTGAAGCATAGCGAACATCACAGGCAGAGGTGACCCTGAGCTGGATGGAAATGGAGAATCGGGGCTTCTTTCTTCCTTCCGCTGTAATGAAATCCACAGGATAGCATTCCTCATGCCAATAACATAACCTTGCTTCCTTCCTAAGACCTTGGAAAGCATTGAAGACTCGGCCCAAGGGAATTTGGTTAAAAGCAGAAAGAAAATCTTTCTTTTGTTTTCTTTTCCTCTTCTATTTTTGAGATCCCTTTGGTCATGTTTTGTTTCACCCTATTCATTTTCTGCTTCTGCCATCTTTTTGATGCTTCCGTGGAACTGCAGGGATTCAGTACAATGGACTAAGTGGCCTGAAAATCCCTGCGGTCAATTGTGCCATTTTATTAATTCAAGTCTGGAGAAGGAGAAAATAGTTCTAATCTTATTTCTATACAGACTTGGTGGTGCTGGTCTGTTTCAAACATTTAATGGTTAGAAAAAAGCACATTTGATAAATGCCCAGGTGTCAAAGAGCTCAAATAAGAGACATTGGTTCAGAGACATTTGTAGAAAATAACGGGTTTTACCCTAGCCTTTGACAAGCGCTCCTGCTTTAGCATTGGTATTAGTGGGACTGACATTCCAAAAAATAGATTAATAATGACACAACTTGAGGGCTTTCAAAAATGTTTTCTGAATTAGTAGAACTTAACATATAATATAAACAAACACAAGCATGCTTGATTCTATACAACTTAGTGTTTCTGAGGGGAGTGATGCCGGGCAAGTGTGCAGTGAAGTACAAGGTCGTTTCTTCTTCAATTAAAACATTCTCTCTCACACGCATTTGTCTACAGGTAGGGAGAATTTAGGTAGAAAGATTATTCAAGGATGAGCATCATATTATTTGTACACTATCTCTTTGGTTTATATGTTTGCAAGTGTGGTGCATGCATGTGTGTGCATGTGCGTATGGATCAGTGTACTCTGGCCAGGAGACCAGAGGTTAACTTCCAATATTCTCCTTTATATTCTCCTCCATATTTTTTTAGGGTGGCCTCTCATTGTACCTGAAACACACCAGTTTGCTAGAGTCCCTGATAAGTGAGATCTAAAGATCTACCTATCTGTGCTCCCCTCCTCCAGTTCTGGGGTTACAAAGATTTGTTGCCTTGTCTGGCTTGCATGTGGAAGGTGGGGATACAAACTCAGTACTCATGCTTGTTTAGCAAGTATGTTACTCACTGAGCCATCTCTCTGGATCCACGATACTTTAATAAACTTTGTTATTCAGTCTTCATTATTCTTTGGAAATCTTCCCCACAAAGGTTTAGTGCCCTTGCTGTTCAGGCACTATCTTTCCTTTCTTGGACTCCATGGTTGATTCCACATCCATGCAAGTTATTTCCTAAGCAGTCTGTGATGAGATTGTGATTAGACGTCACTAACACCAGCATGAAACAGCACGGTTGTTTTCTGTGCTTTGAAAGTACAACCCTGGCTTTCAAGCCTACTTCCCCTGACTCAACATTTTCCAGTACAGACTGTGGTTCCCAGATAGGAGAAGAGATGTATAATGGAGGCTGGGAAAAGATCCTCAGCTGGACATTTTTAGTTCTGTTTTTGCAGTTAGTGATTTTGGTGAGATAGGAGCAAGAGAAGGTATTTAAGAAACTTGGACTGGGCAAAGTGGGCTATGGGCTAGGGCTATGTATCTGAAATTTGCTGGATCTCTCAGCTGTTGCTCAAAGGGATTCACAAATTACTAAAAATTACTCCAAGAATAAAAACTTCTCAGAGTGAGTATTCTAAAAAAAATAGCAATTTCATAAAACTGAAGTGTGAATTAATTGGAAGTCGCACCAGATTTTTGGACATAGTTGTTATTAATTAAAAATTTTATTGGTTACTTTTCCCTACATTAATGGAAACTGGAAGAGGAATTTTCACATTGTCAGGAATTAAAGGTGGTCATTACTGCAACCATACTTGCAGATGATAAGACCCATTTATTTATTCACTCGGGAAATATTTATTGAGCCCTCACCATGTGTCAGGCTCCTTACCAGACTCCAAGGAACCAAAGGCGCTCTTTATTGCCTCTGAATTGTCTTGAAGCCTTGTTATATATTGAAGTCAGTTGCTAGTGAAGACAAGAATGTTAAATATAAAGGAAAGTTTAGGTGATATCCAGAAATAGCATTGCCACAGTCGGCAAAATCTACTGACGTGGAATTCTCATTTAAGTACATGAATATTGGGAATCTGGGGCATACATAAATAAAGAACTCACCTGCTATATTTCAGAATCTGCCTTCTGAACTATTTAATTAACAACCTATGAAAAATATACTCTTGAGACCTAAGTGGATAATAGATGTCACCTTTGTTCTATAAAAAATTCTCCGCTACCAGGAAAACTTAATTTTAAAATGAGCAGTCAGCACTTGTGTAAGCTGTCTCCTGAAAAGTCCCTTCTACCCCATTTTGACACGAATAATGAAGAAGGACAACATTTACCCTCAGTGCTATGGTGGGGAACTTTATTTATCATTAGATTTCTAAGGTGTAGTGCTGTCTCCTGAGATGTAGATTGGCAGGGCAGATGGTCTTTATTGTTCCTAAAGGTCTCTTTAGTAAATGACACACTAATTCTTTACCTACCCTCCCCATGAAATTATGTTTGGTGACATATCTTTATGGTCACTCAATGGGCATAAATTAGCATTAATTAGGGCTATTGTAAGGTAATTCCCTAACCAAAAAAGTGGCTTGCAGATGGGGGAGCAGCTAAGCTCCTAAGGAAGTTCTCAAAATCACCTCTACTTCATCTTGTGGCAAAGAGCTTATGTTTTTGTCTCTGTAAGTGAGGTTTGCAGGGAGTAAAATGGATGAATTTTATTACTACTGTTTTCAAATACTCAGCCCCTAAACCTAGACACATACATCTTTAGTAAAGAACACAGGCTCTTTGGATTAATTAATTCATCAGTGAATCAATAGGAGCCATGCCTTCTAGGCTTATGTTCCAGAGGCCAGTATCTCAGGATTCTTATCCTGAGTATAATGGCTTCAATAAGCCATTAGGTGGAAACCACAATGAGACATTCAGAAAGGCTTTTGCAATTAGATGAGAGGCTAGCTGTCATCCTTAGCTAACTCCTTCCTCCCAATATCACTGGGATCAATTTAAATTACTGCTCTCACAAGGGCCTCTGAATTCTTTTTGTCTTTCTGCATTTGTGTGGACTTATGAAATGAAAATGAACTGACCTTGCAGATGCTCATCCATGCATCGGTACCTGCAAATGGGAAATGATATTAAGTCAGAACTTTATATTCCACACACACGAGCCCTGCGGTGGGACGAGGAACCCATTTAGGTGGAGAAGATATAGAAGGCAAAATCTGTGTTTTAGCACCCACCCTGCTTCCCTAAGACACTGTTTCCTTAAAAATGAAGTGCCATAGTAGCCAGTCACCCCACTTCTGCATAAAGCATGGCATTCTATGCTGCATTCATTAATTTTGTTAACTGAACCTCTCGAGTGCCTGGTGCTGTTTGGGGTGCCCTCCTCAGAGCAGTTGCACATGGAAGAGAGCTGCCGTGTGTCTTAACAGTGAAGCTCCTCTCCCTGTCGTCTGTTGCTGTACCAGTGCTCAACATGTCTGCCTTCCTCAAGAAGGTTAGTGCTCAGTACATTTGAAAGGCTTTTCTTGAAAATACTCTCCTTCAAAGCCACAGAGACTGTCAGTATTGAGTGAGTGGACCGTAGAAATGAGTGAAATGATAATGTATGGATCACAGAGGATGTATAAATTGTTTGCTTCAAATTCACTCTACGGTTTCCTCCCTCCATCTCAGCATAGTGTATTTATTTATTTATTTTTTACTCCAGTGAGTAAGGGAGGGATTAAATACTTTTTTCTTGTTTTACTCTTTCCGTGTTTGAAACGAAGTAAATGCTTTTTATGAAACAGTGGATTTGAAATATTTGTGTGTTCTTTAGAAGTCCAACACTTTGTTAAAGAAAAAAACGTTTTCATTTTCAAGAATCTTATGTAAAAGTTAAAATCTGATTTCAAGGTGTGTTCCTCACATCGAAGTTCTTCTACAATGAAAGGACTCATGTGCTTTTAAATGCTTCATTCTGTTCCGTTTTCCAATGATCTGGTTTGTGACTCTTTGATATGTTTTTCATCACTGGTAACCTTTACGAGTTTGGAAACGCGCGTTGATGCCAAGTTCTTACCTCGTCAACAAGAGACAGCAGCACAAGTTTCGGCTGACGAATATTTCATATTAAAATTCACAATATTTAATGTTTCTTTAGGAAAGGAATTGGCACAACATCTCTCTGGTGCATCTGCTGGGTACGACTGTCAGTTATTCTAATAGGGCTTCTAATGAATGGCACGGGGAAGCCTTGACTTTCAAATCCCTCATGCAGAGTGTCACTCACTTGCTTTCTGCCTGTTCAAATGAGCCTCCTTCCAAAAGCACCTTTAAGGTACGCGTGCCTGACTTTTCATCAGAAGCTCTCCCCATCCTCCTTTTATCTTGCAGAAAGTACCCAAGTCGTGAAAATGTGAGAAGACAAAAATGACCAATTTTAAATAATGATGAAACATTTTAGCAGTATACTCAGAATGTGTGGACATCTATCTGTTCAGAGAAGGATTGTGTTTGTCATCTGCTCTCCACCCTGTCTTTCTCAATACTCTATAAATGTCTGTCAGCTGTTGGTTCTTGTGTTAATTCTTTTGTTCAATGCACAATCGGCACTGAAATCTAGTATGGAAGTCAGCAGGGGCCAGTGGCACGTTTTGCCAGGCTAGGCATTACTATAGTTGGCAAGGTTTATGGTTCTTTTGCATTAATTGAGTAACTTTGAGCATTTCTCATTTCAAATCATTAAGAAATATGCTTATTGCCTTGAAATTGCCTTATTTTTAAGAATCTTTCATCACATTATGCATTAAAACACCTTAAGATTGTTTTTAAAAAATATTTTATATGATCTCTGTGTGTTTTAGACAAACCATTTCAAAATTCAGGATGTCTCCTCCCTTTTTTCGTTTTTAAGAAAATTACCTCGGTGCTTATTATTTGCCCTGTGCCAGAACAGCACAGTCTCGCCTCTCTATTGTGCCAGAAATATTTATTTCAAAAGCTTGGATGTTGGATTTTCAACATTCTTAATAGTTTTGCTTTATCTCTGTCTTTCTTGTGGGTGAGTTAAAAGTGGTGAATCCAACTGTGACGTAAAAATAAAACAGTCTCCCTAGTAACAGAGGAAACAGCCATTCCCTGCAAATGTACGTCTCTTCCTACTGCCCCAAAGACGCACACATCTGGGAGCCCAAGAAGTCTGCTTTAAGTCTCTAATCTATTTAATTTGTTTGCTCTCTAGGCAGTGAAAGTGTCAGCCTCATTACCTTTTTATTGTCTATTCTCCACAAGTGCTGGATGATAAGCAAGAAAATAAAATGGAACAATCTATTCTATGATTATTAAAATTAGTGTGTTTAACCTTTCAATCTAATTTAGTTCATATTTCTGATATATCTCACTTTAGGTTAGATCCACAAGCCAAACTCCCATAGCAAACTGTCTGTTACTTGCAGACCCTAATAAAGCATTGAAAAGGAAGGTTTCAGACCAATTTGCGGCCCAAGAGATTTAAACACAATCTATAACATTGTTTCTGCCTTTGTCTAAACCTCATGAGGTTTGGCTTTTACTAATGTTTATTCATTTTCCTTGGTAGCAGACAAGGAAATACTCTCTCAGGAAGCACCAAGTATGTTTTCAGAGTATATTAAGACAGAAGCTTTTGATTGACAGGTATTCTAGAGCACACAGGAGAACAAGAGAAGAGAGAGAGAAACAAAAGGAATTTGGCTGTTTTTGCTAAGATTTCACGGCTTAAAGCTTATGAAAGAATGACAAACAGATACACCCAAACAGACAGAAAGAGAAAGAGAGAGATAAAAGAAAAAATGTAAACAGTAAAGAATAGTCAGGCAGATGGAGATTGTCGTTTATGGTAAGTTCAAAATTCTTTTTCCGTCTCAAAGATATTCCCTAGAAATGAACATAAAACTCTCATATTAAATGAGATAAGGTAACTTAATTATATAAATCAACAGAAGATTGATCCTGTCTTGTATTTTTAATAATATGCTAATTTCAGGTAAGGAAATTAGACTTTAATGGTAAGATTTTCTTTGAGTGTGTTGAAAATCATAAAACCAACTTTGTTTTACAGTGACAGCTCTGGAATTCATATTCATTTTGTCAGATGAAAATCCTGCCCTCATTTTGGTAAGTGCTCTAATGATTAGGTATTGGCTTTATAGTTTTGTTAAGTCCACCTTTTAAAATGATGTCTAAAATAAATCCCAGAGGTCCATCTGCTTGTTCACAGGAATGGAGAATGTGACGACAATAGCTTAAGTGTGGGAGCCAATGACTTCTCTCTTCAGAACCAGTAAGGAGCAAACTTCCACAGTGCAGTCAGATCGGCATTCAGGAAAGGGGGTCACGGAGCAGGTGGCTTTTGTTATATAAGAGATCCTTGGAACTTTGAAGAAGTTTTACAGGGTACAGAGTTCCCCTCATTCCCATTTCTTAAAAAAATGTAATTTTATTTCTACTTACTCTTCTTTACCTCAAGAATCTTCAAGAACAGATCAAATTACTCTCAGCTAGAAGAACATCTTGACTTCTCTAATAACAAGAAGTTTTCTTTCTCTTTCTGTAAATTTTGACAGAATGTGAAGGGGGAATATAAACAAACCTGGATGACAATGGGCAAATTTTTCAGGAGATTATATAGAATAGAAAAAAAAAGAGCGGGGAGGATTTTGTTCTACTAAGTTATTTCCAACTCACCATACTGATTGTTATAAATATGAGTATGCTGTTTTGAGACTAAACAGGGCTAAGCCCTAAGCTAGGTGGTTTTCGTAAGCAATCATTCATTCTTCTTAAATATCCACCGAGATGGGCTCAGTGGTAGGACGTAATATTAAACAATGTTCTCATGAGTAGAATTACAAAGGAGAAACCAGTCAGGTGGTTACTTTAGTCAATTCTTAATAATTATGGTTTGACAGAAAACATAGACCATTAGAGTATCATGGACATAGAATGTAGATAGTGTAGGTGTGCTGCTTTCTGGCTCGTTCCTCATGACTTGCTCAACCTGCTTTCTTATAGTTCCCAGGCCATACCTAGTGGTGGTTCTTCACACAGTGAACTGGGGCCTCCCAAATCAATCATAAATCAAAGAACTGCACCACAGCCTTGCTAATAGGTCATTCTAGTAGAAGATTTTTCTATATTGTGGTTCTGTATACCGACTCTAGCTTGTGTCAAGTTGACAAAAAAAAAAAAAAACTAGGCAGTACAGTAGAAGAGATACTCCAGTTTGTGGAAACAGCAAGGTAAAATTTTGTTAAAGGTAGCATAACAACAGCCTTCAGAAACAGGAAAATCCTACATGGCAAAAATACACATTTTCAAAAATGAGCAACAAAAGACCAACGAATTCAGAAAGACAATAGTTGTAAATTAAACATGGACTCATAATGATGTGATACGTGCCTAAAAACTTCTAGGTATAATAAAAGTTGTATTTATATTTCAGACCCCATGAAGTATTTATCTTGCTATTACCTTTCCTGTACTTTTGCAAGAGCCCTGACATGATGAGTTCTGTTTTTCACGAATGTGAGTATTTAACCTAGCTCTACCATGTAGTTATATTACTGTACAACATTCCTAGATCATATTCATTTGTTTGACTGAAACTTCACACTCTTGGATGAGTACTTCCTGTTGTTGGTCTTTTCTGTGTAACTCTTTACTCTTTTGGCTCCTTGCTTTTTGGAGGAGTGGTACCCAGCTCCCAAAAAATACACACATAGAGACTTATTCTTGCTTCTAAATGCCTGGCCTTAGCTCGGCTTGTTTCTAGCCAGCTTTTTTAAACTTAGATTATCCCATCTACCTCTTGTCTCTGGGCTTTTATCTTTCTCTATTTTTGTATACCTGTTCTTTCCTTCTTATTCCATGTTTGGCTGTGTAACTGGGCAGAAGACCCCTTCTTTTCTCCCTCTCTATCTCCTCTTCTCAGTTTTCTCCTATTTATTCCCTCTTGTCTGCCAACCCTACCAATCCTTTTTCTTGACTCACTATTGCTCGTTCAGATTTTTATTAAAGCAATCATATTTTTGAAATGCAAACTAACACAACTTTACAGAGTTAAACAAATCAATCATAAAAGAATGCAACATATCTTTGCATCAATAAACAAACAAATGTTCTACAGCATAAACAAATGTAACACACCTTAAAATAATATTCCACCATATTTTCCCTTTTTGTCTAAATGAAAAATATGTTTTTTAACTTTAAGATATCAAAATTATATAAGAACAATTGTCAAGTAAGGATTCCATATACAGTATTCATTCTATTTGTATTTAGAAAATTCAGAGTAAATACTACATTGTCTATCTTATCTTAGTGATTCCAAAGTTCTATAATAATTTATTTTTTATCATAACTAAGGAAAGCCATAATTCTTAACTATTTAGCTTTTAACTCCATCAAAGATGCCAGAAAGATGTAATATTACCTACCAACAAAGACATCTGGGTGCCTCAACAGCCACCCAAAGTTTCTCAGCAGTGTTGGGACATGCATCTTTAACCTACAGACCTAGAGTGTCTGACTGACTTTTCAGTGAATCAGGAAATTTGAAGGACTCTCCTGCCTTGCTTTGGCAAAAAAAAAAAAAAAAAAAAATCAAGAGTCATTTTCCTGTGGGCCCTTCAAGCCCACTTTATATAGCATACTGTCAGCAATCAAGGCAAAGCAGGTTTTTTTTTTCCCCCAAATGACTAGCCTGGCCACAGTGAAAGCAAACTCTAGATAGAGTTTTTTTGATGTCCATCATCCTTTTATGAAGTAAATTGGTACTTCTAGGAGCAGATGTGTCTCATTGTCATGAAAATCCTTAGGGTATTAAGCATTTAAAATGCCATACTCTGTAGGTCTTTGATGTGTTTTAAAATTGTCTGTCTGTCTAAAATGTATCCATTTAACTTTGAAAACATCCCTAATACGAGTACAAATTTGGTTATTGTAGATTAACTACTAACTTAATTTCTTATTTACATACTGCACTTTTAAATGAGCTCAATTAAGTACAATACCCCAAACAAGAGTAGAAACATATATACAGTGTATTTAAAATTAACTTTAATTTGGTGTATTGTGTCAATATACCAAAATCCCTGCCCATGCAAAATATCTAAAATTAATAGTTGTTCTTTATCCTAAGTTCTCCTAAATTATAACAAATATCCATGATCCACCAGATAACCAAAATCCTTCCACATACCAACTCTTGGAAATGTGTTGTTATTTTCTCTAGACTGCCTCCTGATGTCTGTGGGCAGAGGCATATTTAAGGATCCCTCAGAAAATCTGAGATAATGAACAAGTCCTAGGAAGACAAGCTATAAACTTTGTTGATAGATATCACCTGTCAGGTTTCAGGACTTCTCCCTTTATCAAACCTTATCCTTGTTAACCTGGAAGGAATCCACGATCTCTTATTTCCTATGGAAACAAAAGTAAAACCTCTTTTCCAAAGCATTTTTGACTTCCATTTGACAAATACTTTTTTTTAACTTCTTTTTTTCAAGGTAAGATTGCCCTAAAGTTTCTAGGTTGGTTCAGTTGTGCAGTCCTGCTCTCAATGCCATGTCTGTCAGCAGCTGCCATTTCCTCATCAGCATTTAAAGATTCATTATCAGCACATGACAATACAAGATCTGGACTCCCTCATTCTGTGATTTTTTTCTTTTATATTATTTTTACTTTCTTTTAAAACTTTATTGTTTTTAAAACTATTCCTTTCTTTCTATGGCTGTCCATATCCCCTTTCCTTACTTTCTTGATCTTATGCACATTGTAAAACACACTGGAACCTGTTTAGAGTCTTTTCCCAGCTGAACCTCTTTTACCGCCCATCTTTTAGTCTTTTTTGACTGTGCAAGCAAACTTTAAATGGCTAAGTAGCACAAGGTCCTCCTTGCAGCTCTATTGACTGGCTCTGCCTGCTTCTCAGCCTGTTAGAGCTAAGCCTAAAGCTGGAAGCCCTGTTGAAGGCACCTTTAACCAAGAACTGCAATCAACCACCCAGTTATGGAAGGACTGTGTCCTGCCATGCACGGTGGCAGGTGTTTTCTACTTGGCTTTTTGTTTGTGTTATTATTATTATTATTGTTGTTGTTGTTGTTGTTGTTGTTGTTGTATTGACTGCTCAAGGGCTTGCTGTAAGGCAGAAACTCATAAAGGAACCATATCTTTTTTTTTTTTTTTAAACTTTTCTGGCCCTTGGGATGTTCAAGAACCTCACCTTAGAATGCCAAAATGTTGTTATTGCTTTTACTTTTTGACTCTTTGGGGTTTTCCGGTTTCCTGCCACCCACCTCCTGAATAAATACACACACACACACACACACACACACACACACACACACACACACTTATTACTTATTAATGCCTGGTTTTAGCTTGGCTTATTTCTAGCCATATTTTTTCAGCTGAACTTATCTTGTCTAACTTTTGCCTCTGGGCTTTTATCTTTATCCTTTATACTTTTTTTTTTTTATTTGTAACTCCATGTCTTATTTTGTAGCTGGGTGGCCAGTGTCTGGAGTCCTCCTCCCCGTCTTCCTCCTAGATCTATCTTCCCAGATATTTTCTCCTTTTTATTCTTTCTGCCTGCCAGCCTGGCCTATCCTTTCTCCTGCCTCACTATTGGCCATTCAGCCCTTTATTAGTCCAATCAGGAGGATTAGACAGGCAGTGTAACAGAGCTTCACAGAGTTAAACAAATGCAACATAAAAGAATACAACACATTTTTAAATCATGAAATAAATGTTCCACGGCATAAACAAATCTTGCACATCTTAAAATACCATTTCACAACAACTTCCTGTTTGTTGTCCTTCTGGCATTGAAAAACTTCGTTTCAGTATGCGAATTTGTGTTATCCTATGAACTTAACTACTTCTGATCATCTATTAAAATGGATACATACAGTACTATCTCCTTCTACTGACTTGTTTTAATTACCTTAATTTCCTTAAAGTTCACCCATATTTTCACATATTGATGGATTTTTATCTCATGGTCAAATAATATTCCCTTATATGTCTATATTGTCTTGTTTTATACACTTGTCTATATATAGTAATTTCTGTTGTTTTTTTTTCCTCAGGTATAGTTA